ACAATTAGCTTCCATTATTAATGATTTCCTATCAGTATCACCCTTGGATCCCAGCAAATAAGCATCGACAAAGTTCTCGTAATTGGTATGCTTATGGTTTTGTTTGGGAATGCAAATAAATCATTTGGTTTTGTTTCCAAAAAGATTCAACTGAATTTTTCATTGTTTTCTTCTATTTGTGTATAATAAGGAAAAGTTGGCATCTCAATTTCCCCATATCGTAATAGCACACAGCTTGGCATATGAAATATCCTACAAATGAAACAAAGCAAGACAAACCGGTTTCTAATACAAGGATTTATATTGGCTGTTGTACATGTATTCTTTGAACGCAATCACTCTTTGGATAACGTTTTCAAAATCATTATAAACGGATTACTTTATCTCAAAGACAATTTCAATAAATTGGATTTTACAGAACTCCCCTTATTTCTTAAAAATGGACTGATCCAGTTGATTCGCCTGGAGCCGCCATATTGTTTTTATACGGGATGCTAATCGAAACCCTTTAAAGAATATACATATGCTCAACTATTCCATTCTTCCTACAGAGTTACATCTGCCCAAGCAGTTAGTTGACTTGATGATATAAATCTTCAGCCGGGAGGGGTACAAGGCTATGACAGATTTACTAGAGTCAATGAAAGGAATGTCTTGGCATTCCCTCCTCCGCTTGTATTGGAAGTGACTCGACCAAGTTGCATCCTTGTATTTTTCATTTTCTTATCTTGTATCTTTCAGGTACAACTATGGTTCTTAAACAGGACATTGGGCTTGCTTCTTTAGTTATGTTGGTGTTATAGAATAGGATAAGTTAACCCTATACATGATATAAATCGTGAAAATAAATAATGTCTAACATTCCCTTTCTCCCTCACCCTTCAATCGAGAACCAACTTCACAACCCAGTACCAATTAAAACACCAAGGGGCATTTCATGTTCATTGAAACAAGTCATTTTACATATAGAAGAACGAATTGAAAATATCTCATTAGATCAAAAACAGTTGTAGATACTGGTACTTATAAAAGATGGAGCATTCAAAAATTAAATCAATCCTGATTGTTTTCCTTTTTATTTTCAGATTCACTCCTCTTACCTTGGACTTGAGAACATTAGTGCTTCATGTCTGCAGCATCTATATTATATACTATCTTGCCATGCACTGGTTCTATTGACAAAAAGATGATCGTGTGCATGCAGACTATCTAGTCTAAAGAATTTAATTTGTATCAATATTCAACATGCTACATCCAATCAATATATCCGGTCAATATATCTTACACATTGACCTCTGTAGCAGACAGCATAAATATCCATGTGACTTGATACATAGGACTTGTTACATCATATTCATGCTTGTTTTGGAATTAAAATGTAGAACCACATGTGTATTACTATGTTAAATTTTTATTTAATGCTATAGCCTTCTTCTGTGCTGTTCTTCATTATTGTTTCGATGTGAATGTACAAATGCAAAAATTTATGAATATGTGCAAAATCTATATTGATTATTGAATCAAAATGGACACTATATACTGTAGATGTATTCCTTAAATCATAGACGAATAAAATGAGTAATTTTAAATCTAGCGTGTTTATTTAAAATCAATTAAATGAGAAATAAATCACACGCCGAATCCACAATCTTACGTGAGCAGACCCTGTCATGACAGAGGTCTAAAAACATTCTCATGAAAATGTGAATTTACATAATGTAGCATTATATTAAATCCAACTACAAGTATGACCTCTATGAAAATAACAAAGATAGGAACAAAACAAGCTGTTGTGTATAATATTAGCAATAATTTCTTCAGGTATATTTAAAGGCATTTATTGTTAGTATTATCCTGAATTTGTTAGTAGAATCCCAAAAGCATATCAGTTGTTAAAGACTTAGTCTGTACATGTACAAGTTGTCATAATAATATGAACATTTTCCATTTTTACCCTATGAGACTAAATCACTGAACTACCCTAGCCTATCACTCAAGAACTTCTCTTACATTAGTTTGTTAAGCACATAGAGGACATTTGTTAGGCAATAGGGTTCTCTGTTAATAAAAAACAGAAAAATAAAACAATCTAAGGATGTAGCCAGGAGAAAACAGGTGAGGCAAATGTAAATAAATGAGGCAAATGAAAATAAATGAGGCAAATGTAAATAAATGAGGCAAATGTAAATAGTTGAGGCAAATGTAAATCTATGAAGCAAATGTAAATATATGAGGCAAATTTAAATCTATGAAGCAAATGTAAATATATGAGGCAAATTTAAATAGATGAGGCAAATTAAGCTAAAAGGGATATAATATGACAAATGGAACTTTAAAGTTCATTCTCAGATGACAAACACACCTACTGTATATAAATAACTTTAAGTAAAAGTTTGGTGAGACATTTTGACGCATGCCTGGCTACACCAATTGACAAATATACATATGGCACAAGTCTATCCTATCTGCATGTAGGTAGTGAGCTGAAACATGCATACTTTAATATATTTCACCAAAACAAATACATAAACAAACAAACATAAACACACAAGCACATTCTGTACATTTAGCAATAACAATTTTTTGGGAATCTTAGAAAAATAATTCTGTTCATACTGTTACTCTTCCTATTTGTCACTCATTTCAATGTGGCATTGATGATTTGTAATTTGCCAATCAATATATTCAGAAACAACTCCCTGGGAAGGACTTTCATCCAGTGCATCTGCATGTGCATTCAGTAATCCTGCTCAATGTTTTTATTTTGAAAATTTTTTTTCTTGACCAGATAATGTCAATTCTAATGTGGCTTGGGAGACGTGAATACTACCTGGTCACGCATTGTGAGGATTCTAAGTTAGCAGTAGTTATAATAATTCACAAAAGTAAATCTTTACCAATTTTCAAATTTTGTCAAATCAAATAGGGCAAAATTAATGAGAGTAACAGTATGTGGTAATTACATATGCATTTACATTCAACACTTAAAAATCTAAAAGGTTGCACAATTTCACAATTTTACTTCCATTCAAAATCTCAAGTAATTATAGTTTTAGGCAATTTGGAATGTAATAGTAGTTCATATTTTTACGGAAAATACAATTATATCTTGCATTCATAATTTTCTAAGTTTACAATGTGTATTCATAAAATAACTCATAAACACATTTACAATCATAGTGTAGTAGAAATGATTATAACTATATATAAGATACTTCCAGTTCAGCTTTTGAGAGCAAAACATTATGCAGACTAGTCATTTATAAAATAGATAGTTTTCATTAAAACATGGGTTACTGTACTCCTGGTAGTTTCCGTGTGCTAATAATTTCACATTTTTGCAAAGAACCACGTAGGTTATCGCAAACAATTTCAGAAGGTTATATCTTGGATTATGACTATTTTCTCACAATGAAGACAGGTTTATCATTTAGATCAATTCATTATCTCAAAGAAAATTATATACATGTACAGTCATAATAAAGTCAAACAAACTCGGAGATATTTAACTAGCAATCACCCATCAACACACTTTTTCAAAGATGATCACCCCATTTTCAGCAAAAATGCAATCATTTTTACAATGTTTAATGCATTACTATTCTTTGTTTTGATGTATCAAATAGTTCTTGAAAGAAAAACTTAATTGCTTTAAGATAAGTGTTCCCCATGTTATTTCTCCATTGAAAAATTATGTGCTATCCATTGGTTTCAGTTTATTTTGGTCATCCAAATTCAGTATCTTTAAAGTCCCTGGAGCAATCAATTTTTCCTTTTAGGAAATCGAACATGTCTCAAAGCACATTCTAATTATACATTCAACAATATAATATAACAAAAGGTTGCATTTTTGGTGAAAATTAGGTCAACATTTTTGAAAAAGTATATTGATTGGTCCATTGCCCCTTCAATATCACTTAGGTCTGATTAACTAAATTATCAACATATACTTTTCTATGAATAGATCTAAAAGATACATCCATGTTCATGATCAGAAAATATTCATAATTCAAGTTAGAATCGTTTGAAATTGTTTGCGATAACCTACGTGGTCTTTTTGGAAAATAATAGCCAAATATAATAGCATCAAATATTAGTTGGAGTACAGTAGTCAAATATTGACTTAAAATATAACATATTTTGGACGGAATAAAAATGACTGATACTTGAAGATTTATGTTTTGATTTTAGATCCTCCTCTCACTGAAGAGAAATTTGATCCGCAACTGATGATATTTGGACACTATCCCTAAAAAGGGACAAAACATTTTTAACCTAACACCTTTACTTAAGGGGTCGGGTAAATACTTCAATGCCTGTCAAAAAACATAATTAATTTAGTAAGGTCTTGACCCCCCTCCCCGTTCTAACGAAAGTCAAAATATTGATTTGTGCACTGAATAACTTATCTAAAGTCCTGGCTTCCTTATGGACTTTCCTCTCACAATTAGCTTCCATTATTAATGATTTCCTATCAGTATCACCCTTGGATCCCAGCAAATAAGCATCGACAAAGTTCTCGTAATTGGTATGCTTATGGTTTTGTTTGGGAATGCAAATAAATCATTTGGTTTTGTTTCCAAAAAGATTCAACTGAATTTTTCATTGTTTTTTGGACGAAACTGAAAATCAATGTCCGTCCCCTAATCAAATAGCATTTAACCCTCTCCACCCCAAACATAATTAATTACATTTTTTGACAGACATCAATGTTTTGACCCCGCCCCTAAGCATATACATCATGTTTATCACACAGGATTTTTTTCTACAGGGTGAGCCAAAAAGGTAACCCAAACAAATATATGTTATTATAACTCAGTCATTCATTATGGATTAAAAGTTATATTTCAATGTCCATTCATTTTACCAAGATTCATTAGTCTATCCTGAATGGTCACAATTTTATGGCCATTTACAAAACATGCTCCAACTTATTAAAATTTGTTTGAGTTACTTTTTTGTCCTGTACATTGTACACAAACTTTGTTTTTAACAAATTGCTGTTACCAAACTCTCAAAAAATAAATCATATGGAATGTTGTTTTTTCATTAAGCTTAAAATATGTTAATTAAACATGCATCTGCATATAAAGGATCCCTTACTTTATAAAGCTTCCTATAATGAACCAGTTCATGTATATCCAAAAGCTGTACTGTTCGCAGGCTGAGAAGTTGTACCTCAACAATGATTTTAATGAGCACCAAAAGGAGCTTCCAAAATTCTTATGAAAATGATCATTAACATCATTTGCCTAAAATAAAAACTTACTTTTAAGATAGTTACAGGTCATTCTGATTTGTAAAAGTAAGATTGTATAGTGACAAAATTAACATTGTGATATGTCTTACTGACTATATGAAAAAATGGCAGAAGCAATAAAGTTATGTTTCTCCTCCAACAAGGATTGAGTTTCAATTCCTATTAATGATATGACTCTTTTAAAATAGATTCAGGATACAGTTTGGCTCAGTACCATATATTATGTTAAATCTGTCTCAGATCTAATAGAGTTTTTTAATGTCAGACATGTTATACAACTTGCTCTTTATCAGATCCAATCTAAATGTTTCTCTGATATGTATGTTACTCAATGAAAAAGTTGGTTATACCTACAATAATTCTAATACAATGTCAGATCTAAAATAATTTTCCCATATAAGAATATCAGATATGTAATTCAAATATTCCATATCAAATCCCAGAGATGTACAGTATAACATGAATTTTCATCTAATATGAGATCTGTCATGTTTCTCCAGTCTGCCCATCCTATTGTAGCAATCATCAATGTGATCTTGGTCTTTTTCCTCCAATCACAGATTTTTGATATTTACCATCTCATGGTCAACCCAGGAGTGATTGCAATATCTTTCACTGTTTAACTTGATTCAGAAATGTTTCCCCTGTTGTGATGCATGATGAAGAGTAAATTGCAGCATCTAAATTCATTTATCTGTTTCCAAGAGCTGTCAGTTATGTGATCCTGGTACAATGATAAAGGTCATATTTTTGCACATCAAATTAGTTCCCATGATTAGTCCCATGCTCCATGTGGAGAGATTAAGAGTTAAGCATCATGCATATCTCTCAGAAAGGGTTAATCCTGGCTCCAGTTGCAAGGGGAGAGAAAGGGTTAACCTTTGACCACATAATTGCATCAGAAATTGAAACAGCTGATCTTCCATCTTCAAGGAAAAAGGCAAGGCCCTGAAATATATATTCAAAAAATATTTCATTTCAATATATTTAATTAAGGACCATAATGTCGATGCTGTCTCAAAAAGTATTGCAATGATGCCAGATTGACTCTTCCTTCAAAAATGTAATTGAAAATTCATTATGAAATCATTTCCTTAAAAATCTATTTGCCTTGTCCAAACAAAAAAATAAACCTATTACTTCTCTCAGACATTATTAATATTTATGTTTTTAGGCATTTAACAATATGTTGATTACATCAATAACTGAGTTGTAACATTGTTAAATACAAATGCAAATACTGACCACCAACCATTGAACTCCTAATATAAAACGCAATGGCTTTAACAATATGTGATCACTTCTTGGTGGTTTATCTTACCTGGATTCGCCTGCCATTTAACACAGACATATGTACATCAGAGTGACTTGGCATAGCTGAACCTGCAGCAACATCAACCCCCCTCTCAACAGGGTATGGCTCCACTCCAATTCTCTCTCTCAGTACCTTGTAGTGCTCGCATGCACTCCCATAAGTAGTCCCTAAAGTATCCCTGTAATACAATTGAGATTGTTATAAGTAATTGGGTGATTGGGCATCTAGCTCAAGCCAGCAGTGATATCTAAGCCCCACTCAACAGAGTATTGGTCATTTCCCATCTCAGCTTTCAAGACCTGTTTCTCATGCTACCAGAAAATAACAAATTACAGGGTAATAACAAATGGTAATAACTTCATCTTCAAACATGGATTTAAAATCATATTTGGCACAATTGAATTGAATGTTCTTTCATTCTATTAACCTCTTTTTTTAATAGCGAAGAATTTATGGCCATTTTAAAAAACATGCTCCAAATGCGAAAAACCACTTGATATGAATCCCGAAAGTTTTATCTTTAGAGCCATTTCAAAAATATTGTCCCCACTTACAACTCTAGAAGCAAGGGGATTGTGAAAGGGGGTTCATGGGTCTCATCCAAACCTCCAATTAGCCTTAAACCCCCTTTCTTTATCAAACAAACCCTCGGCTGGAACAACCCCATATTAGTAGGATATGCTTATGTACTATTAGCGCGGTTCTTTTAAATGTCACAAGAGGGCTTTGATGGGAAACACTGTTATTGATAAACCTTTATTCAATACATGTTCTTTCATGGATTTTCGTATAATAAATTCACTTATAGTAATCACCACTAGATGGCATTTACACATAAAATAGGAATATTGTAAATAGGAAACAAAGTTATAAGTCTATATTATATTTATCATGCATTTGGGAAGTTTTAGGGTCATTTACAGGATAATTATAATATTCTGAGCATGGACCGAAATATTCGGTATACGGGGGTTGTCCCATCTCATTATGACCCAAGACCAAAGTCCTGAGGGACGGGACAACATCATGACATCCCTACTATTAAGGCCCTCTAATAATGATACTTGCCTATCTTGTTCACCTTGTGACCTCCATGCTGCAAGATCAAGGTCAAGCTGTTGCTCACTTAGAGGAATATTCGGTTGCCTGCTCTTTAATAAATACCTGGGAAAAAAATTAAAGAAACAATTTACTTTTTCTATTATTATTTTATATTTTTTACCTTTGGGTTAACTTTCAAATATGGAAATGTTTGCCAAATATATAATGTAAACATACAAAAAATTTGTGAAATATCTGCCCAGATAATTCATGTTTTGATTCTATACCTTCACACTTATTTGCGTGAAATCATTGTTTTATGAAATTATTTTTTCATTAGATGTACATTTTCAGAGCTCTTATTTGACTGAATTACGATGTAAGGTTAACTGATTTAAAATCTGGGACATTCTTTACAACTGATCAAAGCTTTATTTGTGTCAAAGGTCAATTAATCAAATAGAGAAGCTGCATGGTAAGATGGTAATGTTGCTCCTGAAAATGAAAATGGCAACATGGAAGTTAAAGGGTTCCGATTAGCATCCCGTATAAAAACAATATGGCGGCTCCAGGCGAATCAACTGGATCAGTCCATTTATAAGAAATAAGGGGAGTTCTGTAAAATCCAGTTTATTGAAATTGTCTTTGAGATAAAGTAATCCGTTTATAATGATTTTGAAAACGTTATCCAAAGAGTGATTGCGTTCAAAGAATACATGTACAACAGCCAATATAAATCCTTGTATTAGAAACCGGTTTGTCTTGCTTTGTTTCATTTGTAGGATATTTCATATGCCAAGCTGTGTGCTATTACGTTATGGGGAAATTTAGATGCCAATTTTTCCTTATTATACACAAATAGAAGATCCTGAAACTTCACCCATAAATGTGGAATTGATTTGTCAAAATAAAATCACCCTTTTATAAATGTGTGACGATCTATAATAGACTTATGCTATATAACAGTTAGAGGTGTTGACACAACGACCTCGAACCTGTGAACCCTTGAGTATTATTCCGGGATCGGGCCTTTTATACTAAACGGTGAGCAACACCAGAAACGAGCGTTCGATTTGCTAAACGATATGCGTCACCCTTTAAGCGGAAACCCAGTAACATCCACTACTCAATGAAGAGAAACAGTTGATCTTAGATGAAGCCTACCTAGTGTGTTCAAAGAGGGGTACCACAATAGTGTCATAGCCCCGACCAATAGCCACCAGGGCCCCAACATAGGCACTCAGGGCAAGCAACTCCCCACAATATCTGGAAAGAAAATGTGCATTAGTGGCCAGTTGAAATAATTCCTTCTTCGGTGAAACTTATTTAACAAAGACTGAGACCACTTCCCTCCTGCAATAAAAACTTCACTGTATTGAACAGTGAAGTGACATGATGATCCAATCAATATTTAATGTTTTAATGAAACCTGATTTTTTCACACTTTCATTTGAATTTGGCTGCTACTGGAGAAATACATCTTTAATACTTGAAGTATATGCAAATAATAAAAAGTGAGTTTGCTACTAAAAATTTAAGAAGCTTCATGTGTCATCCAAAAATAATATCAATTATTATTAATCCAATTTGCATATTGATGTAACAAATCTAACATCTCTAGTGTTTTCTAGTTATTAGTGAGTGCAACTTCATCTATAATTACTCAATAAACCAACAATATTCAAACTCTAGTCCTACTTTGCACATTTTTGTTGCTGTAGTTTTTCAGTCATTATATAACCAAGCAGCTGTAGTACTGGATACACATCTGCAACTTTCCACACTGACCTCTGCATCTGGCCTATAATTACAGCCAGAATTAATTTTAAGACAATATCAATGTTACTGTTATATCAATGTACATTCAAATATAGAGGGAAAGATCAAGACTTCCTGCTATAAAATGTAAGGAATTAAACTATATGAACATGATTGTTTGCTTAAATCTGTAGTAGATACATGTATTCACACTTGTTGCTTTGGTTGTCTTGTATTGTATTCTATTAAATTGTATTATATTGTTTTGTATTTTATTGAACTGTATTGTATTGTATTTACGTAATTAACCTGGAAGATAGACCCAGGAACCCTTCCTTGGATGAGCCCTGTATTCTTTTATCATGGACATACAAGTACACACCACAGCCTTTTGTACAATTTTTTTTAAATTAAAAACATGAATCATACTTCAGTTTCTGAACATAAGTTACCTTTAATGTGTTCCAAACCAACATCTAAGGCTTTCTCTGGTTGAGTAGAGAGAATGTAGTATTTAACGCAATCCTCAGGTGAACTCTGGGACAGCAAGGTCTCTGCTTTTTTCAGGCACTTTTGCATGCTGGGAAGGCCAGCCTTAAATGAAAAAGAAAAAATGAAAAGAAAAAAGCAAGAAATGATTAGACGCCATTTCTATGCAGGAATGCAGGAATTGAAATCACAATACTATAAGTTATTGAATGATTTGTCAATCTCAGTAGCAATACAGATTGGTACAGCACAAGAACTGACCAATCAGAAGGCTTCATTTTACAGATCATACTATAAACGTTAAACCAGCAATATGTACCTTTGGCAGGTAAACATTAAAATGAATTTGATACCTTCGAATGTAGGTCATCTATTTCTGACTGACTTGCTGCACAACTTGCACAAAGCCTCACCAGGTGGCGCTCACTGTCATCTGTGTCTTTTAATAGATCGACTGCAAGTTCCCTGGAATCATAAAGTTCAGAAAATGTTATTTTGAATTTCATTTTATTTTGATAAGACTATCACTGATTCGTCACATATATGGTCACTAAAGATCTGAAAATGGAAATTTCACCATTAGAAAATATAATTTCCGATAAATAACATTAATCAACTTGTGATTATGGTTAAATCTGATTTATTTAAATGAAAAATCATGCCAAATTGAGAAAAATTTAATGTATACATTGTTATATAATTAGTGTACAATTGGTAAACAATAAGGTGACAAAAATGCAACAATATTGTAGATGTACTAATCATACATGAGTTAATTAACTAAAAATAAAAAATTAGAAGAACAATTTGTGCAGCAATGTTTTTGAAACATACATTCATAGTCACACCATATAAGTACAGCAAGTGTATGATGCAATGCACAGTTATTCTTTGGACCAAACCAAGAGGTATATAGGATGTATGACGAGTAATCCATTGAATAAATGGCTTTTTAACTTACGATATCAGTTGAATAGTACAAACATGTAACAAAATAAAATGTTGCAAAATAAGTGTACAATTGGTGAATCGTAAATGTACCATACATGTACAGTGTATAATAAATGTACAATGGATGAACATTATATGTAAAAAAAGTTGATACAATAAGCAAACAATATCTCGACAATAAGTTCACAATAAATTGGCAAATAATAAGTGAATAAGTTTACAATACTGAATAGATGCGCAATGGATGGGTGAACATTACAACATGTTAACATCACCTTAATTTCTTATTCATGCTATATAGAGAGCCATCTTTAGTGGGTTCCCTGTACCAATAACTATGCAAAAGAAAAGCTTAAAGTTTAATAATAGGACAAACAATAAATATAAATACAGGGTGTCCTGAAGGTATGACATATACCAATGTCTCCATAGTTTGTTTCATATATCATCTTAAAGCTTATCCAAAGTTACATTAATTTGCTGAGTATCATGGTTCAACTCACAAATAGGATAACATTACAGGCATTTCAAAATTTAGTGTTTGGCCAAAATTAATGTTCAGTTTTACACCAAATTAATATTTGGTTTGTCTCCCTAGGCCATGTTAACAGCAGCCGTTCTTTCCATATATGACCTTCAACGCGCTTCAAATAGGGGTGTAGCATTTTGTTATCCTTATAAATCTTTTTTAAGGTATTTTAGAAGAGTTTCCTTGGGTTATCTGCCCTGATCTGAACTTTTTCCCATTTGTAAGTCAAACCATGACACTTGGCAAATCAATGTAACTTTGGATAAGCTGATTATATATGACACAGTATACAAGCATATCAGAATTTCAAAAAGTTGATAAATTGTTCTTCACATTTAAACATCTATAAAAAGAGCCAAGAACCTTAAATATTTCATCATCTCCAAAACTGATGTATAAGTAGAAGGTAGTGTTACTGACAATTAGATGGGAATTTAAGGTGTTCCTACAAAAAAATAAATAAATAAAATGACCCTCAAATATACAATACAGCATCAAAGCAGATTGTTGCTATCACCTCTAATAGTGCAATATAGAAATATGCAAAATGTGCAATACATCTACTAATAGGTAAGAGTATTGACCTTTCCACAAAGGATCATACAAAAACTGCACCAGTCAAACAACAATATAGTAAAACCTGTATACGTGAACACCTCTCTAATGTGAACACCTTAAAATATGAACACCTCTCTAATGTGAACACCTCTCTAATGTCAACATATGAACATTGGTCTTTAATATTCAATTCATTTCAGTGTTATTAGAAGCTGTATTATTGTGGTAGTATTGTATTTATAATCATTGCAAGTATTTCTACAAATAAGATAATTATTTTCATTGACATGAAAAAGCCACCCCGTGTATGATGTGATTAGGTTCATGATTTGAAAAAGAAAATATCATACATGGTTTAGAGTTAAATTAAGGGAAAGCATATTACAAACCAAAGAAATACATTGTGATAATAGAAAAGGAGTGATAAGAAAGAAGGCAAAATGTTGACTCAACAAATCAAGTTTACTTGCAAAGGTTTCAATATTATTATGGAGTTCACTATATGCAGGTTTTACAGTATACTTTATACTTTAATATATAGTACCTGCCATCTATTACGCTGTACCTAAATAAATGTTAAAGGTTGCATTATTTACAAGTGATGAATTACAAACCTAACCCTTTACCATTTTAAGGATGATTTTGACATACCCAATGTACAATAAAACATATAATCCCTCTATTACATTAGTTTGTCATACTCATCAATAATTCAATACTTTAGCAAGATAAGCTAAGTTGGCAGACATCCAATTCTAAGAAATTAGTTTGTCGTATCTCATCAATACTTCAATAGTTTAGCAAGATAAGCTAAGTTGGCAGACATCCAATTCTAAGAAGTAACACACAGGTTCACACTGTTCTATTTTTTATACTACACTTAAGGTGCTATGGAAGTTAACAGGAAATGACAAAACAAAAAATGTCAAAACCATGCTGGATTTTGAAAATTTTTTGAACCAAGATAACAGAGTTCTGTTTGGTAGTTGAAAGCCCATGGTTTAACTAGTTCCACATATCATCTACATGACCGGGAACACAATGAAAATGGTCAGAATGACCATAAACATGATGAAATAACCTTTTCAGTCCTCTGAATATGTGACTGAAAAATAGCTAAAAGTATGTGCTCAGGAAAGGTCAATGAACAGAATCTTTTGATTTTTTCAGAAAATGTCTCTAATATATTGCTCTAAATGATACAATCTTTGAAATTTAAAAAAATCGTCCGAAACAATAATGGCTGTAGTTAAAAGGAAAATAGATTGACTTTAAATTCAGTTTTTTTCATTTTTTCTTTTTCTAAGAATGATATGAAATTTTTTTAAATTGTATCATTTAGAGCAATATATTGGGCACATTTTCTGAAAAAGTCAAAAGATTCTGTTCAGTGACCTTTCCTGAGCACCTACTCTTAGCTATTTTTCAGTCACATTTTCAGAGGGCTGAAAAGGTTATTTCATCATGTTTATGGTCATTCTGACCATTTCCACTGTGTTCCCAGTCATGTTGTAACAACCCTGGCCTATATGTAACAGTGGAGTGATCAATAAAATGTTATTAAAGGAAGGAATACCTCTTGTGTTATGCCTAATTAATAAAAATACATAATAAGTAAGGTAAAGTTAAAATAATATATTTTATTTCACATGATTATTATTATTATATTAAAAGGTGTTAGCAATAGTTGTATTTATTAATGTAAACAAGTGGTTATCCTTTATGGATACCACCTGATGAAAAATAGTCCCTGTTATAAATGGCAAGTATCAAAAGTCATGGTCATACCAAATGAATAAAAGTACAAAATAAGTCATCCTTTATGGATAAACTTATATGGAAAAGAATGGATCCAAGTTGAAATGATATCCTTTATGGATTTACATAACATAATCAAGTAGTTATAATTCGTAATAGATGTAAATAACTAGATCAAGTAATTGTCATCACTAATGGATGAACACAAATGAATGAAGTAGTTGTCATCCTTAATGGATGAATATAAAAAGGGCTAAGTTCGTGTCATCCTTAATGGATGAACAAAAGTGGACTAGGATTAAGTGTTTCTCGTCCTTGAAGGATGATTGTAAAATGACTAAGTAGTTATCATCCTTAATGGATGAGTGTAAAATGGTAAGTGCATGTCATCCTTAATGGATGAATGTAAAAGAGCTAAGTGCATGTCATCCTTAATGGATGAATGTAAAATTACTAAGTACATGTTACTCCTAATGGATGAGCATAAGTGGACTATGTACATGTCATCCTTAATGGATGATCATAAGTGGACTATGTACATGTCATCCTTAATGGATGATCTCTAATGAATGAACATAAGTACATGTGAAATGAACGAACATAAGTACATGTGAAATGAACGAAGTAAAATAATCACTAGTGATAATAGCGGTTTAAAATATGTGTGTTCTACAGTATGATATGATCATGTTGAACTAAATATGTACAGAAATTGTCATGTTTGAGTAGAAACTAAACCATTTATATTGAAGTTTCTTAAAAGTAAAAGTTTTCTCAAAATGTGTCCAATAAGAAATTGTGGTAAAGGAGTGATATTAATTTTCCCAAAAGATGTCCAGTAAAAATGGCCGAGAGAAATGTTGTAATAAATTATCCAATAGATGGCCAGTAAAAATGGCGGGGATTTGAAATTATACCAAATATTTCCCTTGTTAAAGAGCTTATAGAAATGGCGGTAATTTGAAATGACACCAGAATTTACTCAATAGGTGGCTAATAAAAGTGGCGGGAGTTTGAAATGTTACGAAATTTCCCTTATAAAATGACTTAACAAAAATGGCGGGAACCTGAAATGATCCCAGATTTTACCCAATAAATGGCTAACAAAAATGGCGGGAACTTGAAATGGTCCCAGATTTCCAAAGAATTATAAATGTCATAATAATTGAGTAACCTTAAAACGTGGCTGATGAAAGTGGTCAATAACACCTTAGGAATATGACAAATTATCATCCCTGTTAACTCAATAACAATTGTAAATGTTAGATGAACGTTTTCCCTTTTCAAAAATATGAGTAATTTTCCATCCCAAAACAGTGAATTTCCATGTCTAATGTGAAAGGATTTCCAACCAAAACATGAGGTTTTATCTATAAAATGTACCCATAATGAAGGAATTTATCCACGAAAACACAACTCAACTCACTGCAAGGAATTTCTCCCCAATAATTATAAGGCTTTTACCCATAAGCTTTTGAAATAATACGTCCATAAAAACAGTAAAGATTTGTACCCTCAAACATGATTGACAAAGCAGGTAAAGTTTTCCCGCCGAAAAGGTGTAATTGCCCGCCAAAGGGTAGTATTTTCCCGCCAAAAACCATAATTACCCGCCAGAAGGCATAATAAAACATAGGCTTGAAATATAACCTGGAAACCTCTCGATAAAATGGTTTATTTATAATGACTAAACATTGCCTAAACACCTAAACACTGCAGCCGAAAATGTATTCAAAGTTATAAATAACCTCCTATATAAGGTATACGAGTATAAATAGAAGGGGGAGTATACTTGCAACGTGGTATAATGAATTGAATAAAATACTGGGTTATAAAATTGTATGCAATTTGAAATGGTAGACTCCAAACGCTAGAAATTCCAATGATTTTCTAAATGAAGTTCACATTACGTAGATGACCATAAATAAATGAAGTAACTATGAAGCCACCGAATGTATGAAAGAATGTAATTATTTAGGCCTACCCAAGTTTCAGCTGTTGAAGTTGAAGCCATGATGGGAGCACGTCCATCCCTCAGCAAGTTGCAAATATACTACCTCGAACTATATTCGCGGGCTAATGATCATGTGATCTTCAATCTCGAGTCTCACGAGATTTGAAACGAGATTTTAAAGGAAACCGGAAGTATTTTAACCAGGAATTTGTGAAAACATAAGCTTCTTCCGTAAGTATAATATAAAGTAAAATATCGACCAGGTCCCTTTGCCATACTGGCGATATAATACAAATGTCGGGCCCCTGGTCGCTACATTACTCCCCTAAAAAATGAAGTCTGACCCAGACTTACCATATATAATATAAATATATGCATAATATTCAATGTTAAACAATATTCAATGTTCAATAATATTCATGTCAATGTTACAATGTTTCTTATCACAAGTAGAGTTTCAGCATATTGGCATCCATGATAATTAATAATCCTCAACACACTGAGGTTTTATTACAATTAGTTAATTCTGCATGTATTATAATTATCCTCAACACACTGAGGTTATTAGTAAGATCTGTATCCGTAATACTATTGTTCCTCAACACACTGAGGTTTAAATAACAATAGTGAAGTCTTCCAAGAAATAATAGCCCTGTAAATAAAGAATTTGCATAAATGTACATCACAACCTGATACATGTCCTCTTCTGCGAATCTCTGGCGTTCGTTTGTCATCAATAGTAGGAACATCTCCAGCAGCAGCTCCTCCTCCTCTTCCTGTTAGGCATCCGCTGCCCCATCACACAATGCTAGGAATCCGTTGATACAGTATATGGCTCCAATAGGTCTCTTCAGCTGGCAATCCACTTGTCCAAGAATACATCATAATAGTCTATAGAAACAATGGAGTCAAAATTAATGGTACGGTAAAGGTGGTCAGTTGATCCTCTCTAAAGAGGGATTTCAAATCCAAGACCTTTTGTCCTATAACATCAGTAGAGAGTAATCTGATCATCCTCGAGGCTTCCTCGAGGCTTTTCCATCTGAGCATTCCTCTGTGAGTGACCTACGGTTCCATGTAGTAAGGTCAAACAACTGTCCGCTCCCATCATTCCATCTGAGCATTCCTCTGTGAGTGACCTACGGTTCCATGTAGTAAGGTCAAACAACTGTCCGCTCCCATCACTGACCAGACCAGGACTATGTCCCATGTTAGTCCTATCTTGACCTAGAACCATCTGGATGTCTGCTTCAAGGGTTGGGAGAGTGTTTTTTGATATCATTCTCCCAATGTAATGGGATCGTTGTATCCATCATGACTGACTGTAGCCCCAAGTTAGCTACTCTTAAGGCTTAACAAGCATGGTGCTCCCGAAATTTGTAGAATGATTAAGGTGGGAATCAGCACCTAGGTGTAATCCGCACAGTCTCCTTTACCACCAATCTGCCTGCAGTTTGGCTGTAACTCCTTTCCAGTAGGCATTCCAAATGTGTCTCCCTCTAAAGTAAAAATTATTTTTGACACACAGTGTTCCCTAAAGTTCGAAGGACTTTGTTCCATCGGCTAAGTGTATAGCATTGTTTCCCTAGTGGGGTGTTTATGGACAGAGGTTCCGATCCTCTTAGCAGTTTCCTCAGATATGATGCTTATCTGGGAACCAGTGTCCACTAAAGCAGTATAAACACCCCATAATCAAATTCAGGTTATACACAAAGTCTGTGGTAAGTGCTTAAAGTGGGCCTCTCAAGTAGTTCCGCTGATTCTGGACCCTGCATATCAGCACCTATTAGTTTTCTGAATCTATAGTTGTAGGACACTCTGATATATAATGTTTGTTTTTTTTTCACAGAGAA